GGACTTTTTCTGATATACTTTGGACATGATGTAAGGAGGGAGTGGTCCTTGGAAAGAGATATCATGTTTGGGAAAGTGGAGGGACAGCACAGGAGGGGAAGACCCTCAATGAGGTGGATTGATTCAGTGACTGGGGTAATTGGGATGGGTGTCAGAGACAGTGCGATTGGCAAAGGACAGAGTAGAGTGTAGGGCTGTTGTACATAGGGTCGCTATGAGTCGCAAGCGACTCGACAGCACACAACAACAACAGTTAGAACACCAGCTAGATGGTAATCCTTCCAGGACTGATACAGTGTTCACCAGGAAGCTATAAGTGCTCTAAGTCAGCACTCCATATTCAGTGGTGTTTTTTCCTGTGACTAGCTTTAATAAATTCAGTACTAGAAGGGTGAAAATGTAATGTCACCATTCACTGTTTCCTCTAGGGATCCATTAGCAAAATTTAATTTCTTGTCTCCATAATCTTAAACTATATTGATCTAGAAATATTCGTTCCAAAGGAAATTATACTTCTACCACGAGGCACAGCAATAACTCCATTGAGCCACCACCTGGTCTGGGCTTCTCATTCTTCTAAGTCTGTGAACCATAAGGAAAGAAAAGAGTTAGCTTTCTGATTACTAAGGGGAAAGTAAACTGCATGATGGAGTTAAGAGTATTTCAAGGGTACTGGAGAGCTCCTTAGGCATCTTTTAATTTACTGTGCTCTGTGATTAATGCCAATGGGAATCTACAACAATATAATTATGCAGAATCAGAAGATTACTGAATATCTTGTGCACTGTCAAAGAACAAACAGACATGTCTTAGAAAAAGTACAGCCAGAGTAATCCTTGGAAGCAAAGATAGCAAAGCTTCATCTTCATACTATGAACATTTACCTGGGCAAGGCTATTTCTTGGAAAGGGACATCATACATGGAAAGATGGAGAATCAGTGACAGGGAAGAAAAACCCTAACAAAATGCATTGACAGTGCTATTTTAGCAGTGGGCTCTAGTGTGTCAGAAATGATGATAATGGTGCAGGATAACGCAAGGTTCAGATCAGCTGTTCATAGGGTCACTGAGTCTTACTCATCTCTATAGCACGTAACAACAACCACCAATGGCCCAACCTATCAAGAATGAAGGTTTTGATCACCCATCTGAAAAAGAACAGTTGCCAGCTAGCTGATCGGCTAGCTGAGAGCAAAGGGAATATAGAAGGGGTTGTGCTGTTGTGTACCATAGAGTCAGACCCTCCAGTGAGTTTTAAGAAGCAGTTAAGCACACGAGAAAGATTGACCATCTTTCTCCCACAGAGCAGCTGCTGTTCTTGAACCGTGTGCCTTAGGGATTGCAGCATTATTGCCACCAGATCGCCCTATGGAAGGAGTAGTGGGAAAAAAGTAGCCCAAAATACCATATACTGAAGTTGTTATGAGTATTTCTCCTTCATTTTGTTATTAACAACTATTAGGTGCTGTTGCACTGACTTCAATTTATAGCAGCCAGAGAGAGGGAAAAAAGGAAGATGGTGGTAAGGGTCTGAAGTAGAATCAAGAAATGAAACCAAGGGCAGATGACAGAGCAAACCGGTGCATGCCAATAATCAACACAGGAGGCAAGGACCAAGGGAGTTGCACCAAAAGTCCACCACTGCAGAGAAGTGTGGATATTCAAGTAGAACCAGAAAGTATTAAAACTTGTATAACTGAGGCTCCAGGAAGCGTACAACATCTACTCTCATCTAATGAGATAGATATACTTTCTTTCCCAAGAGTGTCTCTTGCTTAATAAAATTTGTCTTTAATAACTTTTACATGTCTTTGTTAACTAACCTTCTGTCTATGCTGCATGCCCTTACTCTGTTTTTGTAACATTTACCTACGGAAGTAATTTTGCTATCTTGTGCCTAGCCAACAAACCAGGCCTGGGAACCTCCCTGTACTCTAAACTCTATGTATAGTAGATCAGAACCCTGTCTGATCCTGCACCACTCTCAAAATCTCAGTTCCCTGGCTTCAAGGAGGTGTGGCTGGTACCTGGGCAGCATGACATTGCCTTTGTGGAGTTTGACAATAAGGTGCAAGCTGGGGCCACCTGTGATGCCCTGCAGGGCTTCAAGATCACCTAGAACAATGCTATGAAGATATCCTTCACCAAGAGGTAACACCTTTCCCCCTTGTCTTCCCCTGGCCATGTTTCTGGGTTGTCCTCCCCCCCCCCACCAACTTGGCTCACCCCGTTGAAGGTAAGTCCCTCTCAGCGGCCTTCATTGAGCTGTGTGTGAATGAATGGTCACCACACAGCATTGTACCCAGACATTGCACCTCTCGCTGTAGGCTGGAGTGAAAGTGTTTTCTGCATTTTAGGGGTTTTTTTGTGAAAGTGTTTTTGCATTTTAGGGGTTTTTTTTTCCCTGAAAAAAAAATCTTTGATATGGTTAAATAAGTTCATTGTTGTAGTCACTGTGTAAATCCATCTTCTTGAAGATCTTCCTCTCATTTGCTAACCCTCTACTTTTTCAAGCACAATATTCTTTTTTTACAAGGACTAACCCCTCCTGATACCATGCCCACACTATGTGAGTCCAAATTTTACCGTACTCACCTCTAAGAGGCGTGCTGGCTGCACTTCTGCCAAGACCAACTTTTTATTCTTTTGGCAGTATATGGTATATTAAACATAGTAATGCGATTAAGGTATTTTTTGATGCAATTAACATCTGTAACAAGCTAACTGGACATAAAGCATAATCCCTTTAATGATATGGGTCTGCATCATTCAATCACTTGAAGGCTTTAAAAGCAAGAACTGAGAGTTCCAAAATAAGGTACTCTGCTTCAGTACTGCAGCATCAGCACCTGGTTGAGTTTCCAGCCTGCTATCTTGTCTTTTGGATTTTGTCTTTCCAGGACCCATAATCACATGAGCCGGTTCCTTGAAATACGTCTATATATGCACATACCTATGCATGGATCATACAGGTTCATACACACATAGAATTGTTATGTGTTCTTAATGACTTGATTTTTTTTACCGTATTATATAACATCCCTTTATATCTCTGAAAATTATTGTAACTCTGGAGTTTATTTTGTTGATATTAACACTGCATAGTTTAATATCAAGAAGGTTGTGCATCAAGGCTGTGCCTTTTCTCCATACCTATGAACAAATACTTTGAGAAACTGAACTTTATGAAGAAAAATATGCCATCAGAATAGGAGGAAGGCACATCAACAACCTGTATTATACACATGATACAACTTTGCTTGCTGAAAGTGAGGAATCCTTGAAACATTTGCTGCATAAGATCAAATACCTTGGAGGAGGTGCAGCCTTAGTTATCCTTAGAAGGAAAAATAGAAAAGCTTTTTTATGTTGGACATCTTGCTCGAAGAGGATATTCCTTGAAAAGGGACATCATGCTAAGAAAAGTGAAAAGTCAACAAAAGAGAAGAAGACTCTCACTCTAACAAATTGACACAGTAACTCCAATGAGTAGTCCAAGTTTGTTAGAGATAATGAGGATGGATCAGGATAGGACAGAGTTGAGATCTCTTTTTCACAGGTTCGCTGTGGCTGCTTAACTCAACACAACCTTCCTTTAGTTTAGAGTTGATAAAGATGTGTCTTTGGCTTTTGAACCAATCAGAAGACATATAAAAGGGGTTTCCTTTTATATTAGAATCAAACATGTGTTTATTAATGGCTCCACAACCCTGCTTGCTGAAAGTTAAAAGGACTTGAAGTACTTTTTTTCATTACATATGCACACACACATCCCTACTTCTTAACTGAATAATATGGATAATATGTAGATTTTTCTGCCAGCCTTTTAGCTAGTACAGGATGTGCACAGCACATGAGCAGCAATGAGGGTTACAAATTTATTATGTAAACTACAGTGCTTTTGAAAATAGAAACAGATACCATTAAAAATGCCAAGAGAGTTGGCCCTCACTAAGTGCATCATACAGCTCACTGCTGCTAGGGAGAATGACTAGCAATGATGTGAGCCACTGCTGTGAGAAACCAGTAGTGATAGTCTTGTTCCCAGATGATTTGAAGAGAGTGTAAGATCAGTTCCCAAGAGAGAAATAATTCAGTCATTCAGAACCTCGTTTCTGATCTAAACAAAGGTTACTTGAATATCAGCTCTTTCCATGTTCATAACCATCTTGAAAGGAAAATATTCTCACATTAGGGATCGAAAAGAGGTGCTTAGAAAGTGAATGCACATAGTACAGGATTTACATAGCTAGAATCTGGTAGACTAAGATTTTGTATTTGTGACTTGAGGTATCACTTTGGCACCAAATAACGCAGACTTCGATGACTGTGGATCAGGGTTCAAGTCTCAGGTCTAGTGCTCAACTACTATGTGGGTTTTGTCAACCTGTTGGATCATAGTGCAATTGTAAGGATAGTAGCTTGCGTTTTTGGAGAATTTGTCAGCATTTTGTTCTGAGCTAAATGTTTTCTCAATGCTATTTCATTCATTCTTCATAGTAACTCCACTATGAGATAGTATCAGAAACCACATGGGATATATTATATATAGAAAAAAACTCGGAAAGTGCCCACTGTATGAGGAATAAACAAATAAGTATTAGTTCCTCTTTCTTTCCTGGTCCCAGGTCAGAACACAATTTACACCTTGAATGGTTCTGTGTTTCTAATATTGCTTTTAAAGGGCTTAGGAGGTAGCCACTTATCCTAAAGAATGTGCCCACTTTTCCAGCTTCTCTAAAAACTTGAGAATTGCTGGTTATATGGTATATATTACTTTTTAAGGTCAAAATCCCTCCCACTAGCTCTCCCACATTCATGAAACCGTTTTGTCCCGTGCAGTGGTTGTGGCCATGCATGAGAAACAGCAGGTGGTGCCAGATGACAGATGGTGTGGGAGCCGTTCCCTGGTGGGAGGGGGCGCGAGCGAGCGAGCAAGGAGGCAGGCAGCTGCCAGGAGCTCTTCCCCGCTCGCGCCTTGCTCAGAAGCTCCCAATCCAGGCACACGCAAGGCGCTGTCCTTTCAGCACCACAAGCTCCGACTGAGGCGGGAGGACTCCCGGCTGTCCTCCTCCTCTTCAAATTGGCTTGAATCTGCTCTGACCCCCCTAAGCGTACCACAGAGTAAGTAGGCATTTCTTTTTGTTCTTTTCATTCCGCTCCTAGCGTCCTCTAGCCCATCCCTATCACTCCACAACAATCCTGCTTCGTCTAATAAGGTTCCATAGCCAGAATAGATGAGAGATTCAGTTGTTCTGGGCTTCAGGAGGTGGGATGGGAGCACTCTTTAATTTCCAAGGGGGCTGGTGAGGGATAAATGCGATTTGTTTATTTGATTGGCAATCTTGCGGTATGGGGTCTGCTAACTTTCCATGGAACCAGAAAAATATGGCCCTTTGCTATTGAGGAAATGGAGGCATTCCATGGCTGAATAACAAGATCAATTTCAAGCCAACCTTTTTGTTTTGTTTTAGGAAATAGTATCTCATGCACCATTTATGTTATGTAAAAGGATACACATAAAGACTCTTCACATATTTGTTATGTTTTGGAGATTGCTTGAAAAGTCAATATAATAAGAAAACCATCATAGTGGTGAGGGAAAATTTTTCATACTACAGGGTCAACTAGAATAATAGATTTCATTATGCACTAAAAATAAGCTTTTTTTCCTGAGATTTTTAAATGGATATGTTAGCTCCAATTTCTTGGCTGAATTTTTTTAAGCTTGCATTTTTGGTGTATATTTGAGATTTTTCCTTGAGTTTTCAAAATTTGAGGTTTGTTGACCCTTATGGGGATGGTGGCATATTTTGATGATTAAATAAGTTTTACTGGACAATGAGAATCATGCCAGGAAATCTATCAGGAGACTGATGATTTATCTCCAGATAGAAAAAAACACTGAATGAAGCCGAAGGAGGTACACTGTTTCCTCTGTCGTCAGTCTTCTCATTCCCTGCTTCACCTCCTGCTGTAACCAGAAACCCACTGCTTGCCTTAGGTCTGGAAAGAAAGGCGTAAGGATGGTGAAGCTGAACAGCAACCCCAGTGAGAAGGGAGCCAAGCCGCCTACCGTGGAGGATGGTTTCCAGACAGTCCCTCTCATCACTCCCCTGGAGGTTAACCACTTGCAGCTGCCTGCTCCAGAAAAGGTAAAGCAGGTGCCTTCCTCGCTCCCAAATTCCCCACCCCAGGAAAATAAAAAGGCAGAACATCCCCTCCCCAAAAAACCCTTTTCTCCCACATCAGCCAAACATGTTCCCTGTCTTGTAACATCTAGTTACTCCTGCTAGAGCTAGGGCATCTCTTATGCTATTTCAGATTACATGGCAAGTGCTTGTTCATTGTTTTGTTCACCTAGCCTTACATACATGGTTAAGAAAATTGATCTTTCCTATTTTAAGTTTACCACAGCAGATGAGGCAAGTGATAACAGAGAAAATCTGTCCTGACTATTTGGGGGAGGCATTTCAGAAATGCATAGGTCTAGACTGAGACAGAGCATTGGATTCAGCCCAACAGCATTTAGTTTGTTTGCCTACTGAGGTCCTGTCTTTATACTACCTGGTTGGTTATAAAAAGACAAATGGCACAATCCTTTAACTAGTATCTCTCTTAGATGAAATATAATGTGTCATGGCAATGCCATATTTGGGTGAATACAGAGATTTGTAAGAGTACAGGCATATGATTTTTTTCAAAGAGGTGGAGGGAGTGGAGATGGTTCACGGAGGGACCTGAGAGGACAGGTTAGGTAAGCTCTAAAGAAAGAATATTTAATTTGCTCTTGTAAAGGTGAGTATAAACCAACCTGGTGGGCCAGGAGAGGAAAAGACATTTAATGCAAAAGGCACAGATGTGCAAAGGGCATAGAGGTATGGAGTGCCTTTGGGGTATAGCAGGCTAGAGTAGAGCATCTTGGGGGGAGGCGTGGTTGGAAATGAGTGACTGGCTGATGGCACATCTCCTGACATGGGAGTGGTCCATGAAGAATAGAGGTGGGCATTGTACAAAGGCAGAAGGGATGTTTCTCCCACCGACACAGGTGGAAGATACATTATTGTTTAAAATCCCTCTATGGGAGTTTTGGGTTTTATAATGTGAGCTTTTGCACACTGTAGGGATTGTGCTTGGAGGCAAATGATGGAGTTCCTTGGCTAGAAAGGGAACAATAGAGCAGCCTGTTTGTTTGCTCTTCTAATTGGCATCTCCAAGAGGGCATTGTGTGCCTTAACCAATTGACTGTAGCCAATCAATAGAAGAGAAACCAAAGCTAGATAAGGGCCTGGTTGATTGACTTTGGATTGAGTCATTTGTTTTGAAAGTGAATGGCTTGTCAGTATGAAGACTTTTAGAGAAGACAGAAATAAAGAATCCTTTACCCATCCTAAGAAACTGCAAAGCCTTCAAAAATAAATTTGCATAAACAATTAGCAATAAAGAAATGCGACAGGTTGGAGAAAGGATAATATTGAGTATGTGATATGGTATATCAGAGGCTGTCCGTCTTTCTTTCCCTCTCTTTTTGAACTGCATTTAAGAATCATTATGAAAGTTTTAAAAATCTTAACATCTAGACCATACCCCAAACCAATTAGATCAGAATCTCTGGGTGTGGGGGCCCAAGAGATTCCTATGTGCAGCCAAGTTGAGAGCTATAATGCTAGGTGGTCCCTGTCCCTGGGAATCAGAAATTATACACTCAAATTTGTAAATAGGAAGATAGGGAAGTTCAGTGAATGATCCAAGCCCACAGAAAGAGCAAGTGTCAAAGCTGGATTTTGAACTCAGCTCTATGTGGGTAGTAGAGTGAAAGAAAGAAGGATGTTCTCGCTGGGTTTTTCAGAGCTCCAGAAGGAATCTTTACCAGTCAGTCTCTGATCTGCATTGCACCTCAGAGGTATGTAAGGAATAAAGAGTGGAGAGAGACCACCTGGCGCCACCCTGGCCCCTCATACCCTTGCAGGCTGTTCATAGATTACCATAGCCTCTGTCTTCCCTTACACTCTCTATGCACCATCAAGGGCTTCTTTCCTATCCCGTGAATGAGGAAATGGGCATAATAACCACTGAACATCCAATCAAGATTTCTCAGAATGCTGTTTAAAGCTTACTATTGTTGTTGTTGTGTACTGTTGAGACAGAAGTGACCCATAGCTGACCCTCTGGTGGGTTTTTAGAGGCAGTTAATTGCATGGGAGGAGATTGCCCATCCTTCTCCCACAGAGCAGTTGGTGGGATTCAGACTGTGTGCCTTCAACATTGCAGCACAGTGTCTTACCACTAGGCTACCAGAGCTCCCTGTTCTAAACCCTGGACAAGAAAAATTAAATTTCTCATTGAGAACTCTGGTGGCCTAGTGGTAAGAAGCTACACTGCAATCCTAAAGGCATGTGGTTCAAATCCAGCAGCTGCTCCTTGGGAGAAGGACGAGCCTGTGAAAACCTACTGGAGGATCAGCTATGTGCTAGTTCTGTCTTGATGGCACCCAGCAACAACAATAGTGGGCATGCATGCATGTGAGGGGAAACCGTTTTGTCCTAAAAGTTGCAGTGGAGCCCATTTTGACTTCATAGTCCAAGGAGCCGTTCCTATAGAATTCTAACTCTCAGAGACCCATCTTCTCAGAAGCCATTCCTCATAGATACCTGTCCTGAAAGGGACACATCTTCATAGAGGCCACAGGACATCTTCTGATGTTTATGACAACATTTTTCTGCAAGTGGAGAATCTCTCAGCCTCACAATGGTGAGAACCAAGTTAGCTGTGACATCACACAAAACTAGCTATGAGAGATAATGGCCATGATTTCTAGGTGCTGCTGAAATCTTAGATGCTATTCTAAGCCATGGTACAGGATAGAACAAAGTTCAGATCTGTTGTTCAAAGGATCACTATGAATTGTAGTTGATCTGACAGCATCTAACCACAACAACATTCTAAACTGTATGTTTACATGCATGCACACAGAATTTTATGTCATCTTCTCAACAGAAACTTAGACACAGAGTAGTAAAAGAACTTACCCAAGACTGGGAAGTGTAGCTCCAGAACTTTTCCATGTCAGCAGGAGCAAGGAACAAGTTGGTCTGGGCTTCCACACATGGAGGCTCTGTCTCTAACTGGTTGAGTACTCACTGTGTGACTAATTTCTGTAGCTTCTCATACGACTATATCATTTGCTCTGTGGGTTGGTAATTATTTTAGTTGTTTGCTCGTATTTCCATTTTATGATCATCACAAAAGTAAAAATTTCTCCTTGTGTCAATATGTTATTGAGTACCATCAAGTCAGAACTGACCCTCCAGAGGATTTTCAGGAGATTGTCCATTCTTCTCCCATGGAGGAGTTGGTGGATTTGAACTCTGTGCCTTCAGGATTGCAATGCAGATTCTTACCACTAGGCTACCAAAGCTCCCTAATGTTGTTGTTATGTGCCATCGAGTTGACCATGACTCATAGCAATCCTATTCACAATAGTTCTGAATTCTGATCTATCCTGGGCCAATCTCTGTCTCTGACATGTTTGCTCTCATTACCCCAGTCACTGAGTCAATCTATCTTATCTGGGATCTTCCTCTCCTATGCTGTCCTTCCATCCTTCCAAGCATGGTATCCTTCTCCAAGCACTGGTCCCTCCTAGAAACATGCTCAAAGTGTGTGGACCAAGCCTCAAAATCCTTGCCTCCAAGGAGCAGCTTGGCTTCACCCTCTCCAGGACAGGCCTGTTAGTTCTCTTGTTAGAAGTGAATTTTAGTCAAGAAAACAAAACGAATTGTGCCAAACTCATTGCCTTTGAGTTGATTCCTACTCACGGCAAACCTCTAGGCAGTGAACTTCCCCATAGAGTTCCCAGAACTTTTTCACAGAAACAAACTTCTACCTCCTTGAAGTGGCTAGTGAATTTAAAGCTTTGACCTTTTGGTTAGCAGTTTACCATTCAGCCACAGAGTCGCAAGGTTTCCAAGAAGTCCAATCTCCTCTAAATATTTGAACAGCCTTGTATTTTCCAGTACTGTCTCAGTGCCACCACTCTAGGTGAATTCAAATCTCTGTTCCACTTTTTGGTAGCCTACCTGGACTTTGGAGGATTTCCATAAACTACAGCAGCGTCAGCTTCCTCACATCTACAGTGGAGATGATAATATTGGAACTCACCTTAGAGGAATCTGTTTTTGCTAGCTGCTGTGAATTAGCATCAAGTCATGACAACCAAATAAAACATTGCCCAGTCCTGTGTCATCTTCAAAGGCTAGCAGTCTTGCACAAGCCCACTGACACAGCCATTGTACATTTTGAGTGTCTTCCAGGCTAAAGGATTCAGCCCTTCCAACTATATTGGACAATATTCTGTTGTGATCTTTGCTGGCTAATTTATGGAAATAGATCATCAGGCCTTTTCTCCCTTAGACTCTCTTAGTGTAGAACCTCCACTAAAGCCTATTCACTGTACTTGAAATCCCAGTGACACAGCTTCTAAAACATCAAAGCAACACACAAGCCATCACAGTACAACAAGCTGGCCCACAGGTTCTAGAGAAGGTGAAATGAGCCCTGGCACATTGTTGTCAGCTCTTTGGCTACATTTCATTCAGATGGTAAGTACTGGTTATCAGAACAAAAAGTATAATTTGATCCTAAAGTTAAATTATGGTATTTTTCTTTTTGAAAATATAGAATGTGTTTGCTGTGTAATGTTCACAATCACTTTTCTATGTATTTATTAAACAATCTTTAATGTTTGAGACGTAAGTGTCAGGAGAAAAAGTTTTGGAGGTAATAAAGGGAGGGAACATATATCTGAAGGACTTCTCTCAGCTGAGATAGAGCTATGCACGTCTTCCTGTTGTTATATCAGATTAATGCAGCCACTTCACTAATGGGAACATCAAGGTTTATAAGTGGGCAGTCTTGCCCATTTCACAGACAGAGTGAAGAGAGGGAGTTGAAACCCTGATAAATCCTAATTTATTCACTGTGTCTGGCTTTCTCAGTAATGAGAAGCCCCCCACTTGTGGAATACTTCCTCTGACTTTACATCCTTTGCCCAGGACAGTGGCTAGTTTTGTTCTTCCTCCAGCTTTCCCTTGGGTAAGCTTCTGGCTTGCAGGTGAGGTCCTGGGGGTGAGTTCCAGAGAGCACATCACAGCCT